ACAAAATTACCCTTCAGGCCTGCTTCATTGGGGGTGCAGGGAAAGGAAGGGAGGGAGGGAGGCTGGGCCATGATGGTGCATGCCTTTAATCCCAGCACTTGGGAGGCAGAGGCAGGTGGATTTCTATAAATTGGAGGTCAGCCTGGTCTACAGAGAGAGTTCCAGGACAGCCCGGACTACACAGAGAAACCATGTCTCGAAAAACTGAGATAGATAGATAGATAGATAGATAGATAGATAGATAGATAGAAATCTCATGATCACAATGGCCATGATTAGGCCTTGGAGAAGGAGGGAGAGAACATGATACTATAGGTAGCAAGAGAGGCTTCCCTTCAGATCCAGAGAGGAGCTGTGCTCAGGGACAACTGCTATCTATATGAAAAGCTTTAATTCCAGAAGAAAAAAAAAGGGGAGGGGGACTTCTGACTCTTAAAGGTTTTCAGGGATAGGGCAATCTTTGTACCACATGATCTAGCCCGACCTGTATTATTAGAGTTCTTAAGGCAGCTGCTGAGAGGCAGGAGGAGGAAGGGAAGAGAGGCTTGATCTGCTCTTAGTTGGGGCCATGGATATTCACAGCAAGGGGGCATATTATCACCCACCTATTCAAATGAACAAAATGCCAACAGACAAAATGGCTCTGAATGTTTTTATGGGAGTGTAAAGGACTACCACCCATATATTATGTTTTCTCCCCATAGACTCTTCCAGACCTGCTTTGCTGGCTGTAAGGGAATCTAGGAAGTGTAGTCTTTTAGCAGAAAACTATCAACCCCACCTAAGCACCAAAGGCCACACAGGCAGAATCATAAACTTATCTTGCAAGGTGTGTGTGTGTGTGGGGGGGTGCTGTGTGGACACAACACAGCATGATTTCTTATCAACTCTGTCAGCAAGAGAGAGAGAGCTAGCTGCAAGGGAGCCTGGTGTATCTGAGAGAGATAGACAGCTAGAGGGTCTGGGATGTAACAAAGACAGAAGTCACTCATTTTCTATGTAGGGGAGTGGCCAGTGTGTGATTCGTAGAACAGTAGTCTGGCTGCCTTTTGACCCTCCTACAGCAGTGGGCCTGGGGTATTTCTGGCCTCTTACACCTCTGCTTAGGGCCTGGAGTCTCTAACAGTAAGGTCAGAGGGATCTCAGCCTCTGCTGTTGTCTCAAATGCCAAGGTGCCTTAGTTTGGTATAGTGTCTTGAATCTCATCAATGTGTGTGTGTGTGTGTGTGTGTGTAGTGTTTCAAATTTTTAAATGTATTTGTTCCATGATTCAGTCAAGAACCCCACACCTATGAACATACAAGCAACCCTAATTAAACTCAGTGAGTTTTAAAAAAATCATGAAAGTAGGAGGGATGTTTTGTGAAGAAAGATTCCTGAGGGAGTGTGAAAAGAATAAGAACTGGGGAGGGGGGTAAATATAATCAAATACATTATATATATATATATATATATATATATATATATATATATATATATATATTTTTTCAAGGGATAAATAAAAATTATTGTTAAAAATGTACTTTTTCAAGTATAAGTGATTTCCTGAAAATCTCATATTGCAGACATTCTAAGATTTTTTTTTAAGTTTCAGTCAACAAATGATTATAAATAAGCATAATAAAGTTACCTGTCAACTCTTTGTGTCAATATTTATGAACTCACAATTGTTTGCTTTTATTAGTACCTTGGCTACAATGAGTCCTGAACACCACAGTCAGCTGAGCCTTGGGGGAAACTTACCTCAGCATTTTACAAATGCTTCCAGTGAAGTTTTGATATTAAACTCTCCAGTCTTTTCCATCTCTTTAACCCTCTCACTTCTCCACCTCACAATTTGAGCCACGACTGGGCTTTCTCCACGCACTGCCCTGAGGGCAGGGACCATACCGAGAGAACAAAGCGTCCCTTTCTTGCCTTCTGAGCCCTTAAGTCGCCCTTTGTAAATCTATTGTAGAGGCAATGGTATTGAGAGCCACAGATTTCAATTCTAAGGGCAAGGTGCTTGAGAGAAAAAAGGGTATTTTTTGAATTTCAAAAGCATAGCTTTAAATATCAAAAGCCAAAGCCAGAGGGCTCAGAGCACAGATTTTATACTGTAAACCCGATAGAGCAGGAGAACAGTGTCTCTCTCAGTCCCCAAACAGATAAGCTATCTGTCTAGAGTGAAGAGTGATGTAGGAGGGAGAATTGAACTTGAGTCCAGTTTTAACTGGTAAGTCTTTGGGGAGGGGATGGAGGCACCATGCCACTGGGCTGCAGCTGCAGTGCTTATGGAAACCCGTAGATTGGTGCAAGGGGGTCCTTAATGAGAAGGGCTGTTGACTAACGGCTACCCAGAATGCAGCCCTGATCCACCAGGTCCATTCTTCACCGGTAGCTTGAAAGCAATTTAATGTAGGCCTGAAGAATCTGCGGCACCTTCCTGGCATCCTCAGTCCATAATAGGTGGTGGGAAGAGGTCACAATTTCTGCATCTATCGCAGCCAAGAAGGACTTGGCTGTGAGCACTGGTTGCCCATGAGCGGTGTTCTTATTGAGATGTGAAGAACGCGGGGTCTGATAAGAAAGGGAGAACATTGTCTCTCTTACTGTAAGCATTCCGGAGGTGGGGACAGGGGATAGAAACCAGTGAGGCAGTTTGAGCCTTGGAAATAGTTTCAATTCTTGTCCTTGGGCAGAAGCTGGGAATATTCTTGGTCCTGTCCTTTCTGAAGGTCAGAAATGCCAGAAGTACTGGAGTGCTTTGGTTCCTGGCCTTGGTGTTTGTTACATTTTTCTCTTTTGTCAGCTGTCTTGGAAGCTGTTTGTGAGGATGTGGTTGAAGCTTGCACATGGGCAAGCTCCTGAGTGGGCCAACTGAACAGACCAGTTCACCTCGTATGCCTCAGCCCAGTAGAACCTATTAACCTTTAGGTGGGACCCTTGCTGACAAGCCATTTCCTAGGATCCACTCTTGCTATACAAGAGCCCTGCCTACTTCCTATCTCTTAAGGTCTCTTGTGAGGCCATAACAAACTCCTTTCTAAAAGCTCACCCTTGCCATTGTCCATGACATTCGTTATTCAGGGACCTTGAAGCCTCTGCCCTCCACCCTTTAGCTATTTCCTGCCAGAGGCAAAAACAGTTCAATCATTCTCCATGCCCCACATCCACAGGATCCCAGGGGAGTTAGAGAGGAGTTTTGACATCAAATCAAATGGTATTGTGGTTATTGCCTGTGGTGGTGTGTAACCTAAACAGGAACCACATTGTTGTTAAGGAGCCACATTGTTATACATTGTTATTAAGTTTCCATACTTTACAGTAATAAGTTTCCATTTCCTAAACTTAATGTATCCTGTAAATCATATTTTTCTACCTATGCTAAACTTGTGACCCCATGATGTATACGCACCCCTTTGCCTTGCTAACTGGCCAGTTCTAAATACAGCTTGCTTTAATCAGACAATGGTGGAATGTTTTCTCAGGTCTAGCAGTGATTTCAGTAAGGATGGCTCCCATAGGCTCATAGATTTGAATTCTTGGTCACCAGGGAGTGGAACTATTTGAAAGGATTAGGAGGTGTGGCCTTGTTGAGGTAGGTGTGGCCTTGTTAGAGGAAGTATGCCACTGGGGTTGGGCTTTGAGGTTTCAGAGGCCCAAGCCTGCCCAGAGGCTCTTGTTCTTCTTGCTGCCTTCAGTCTGGATATAGAACTTTCAGGTAGTATATCTACCTGCATGCTGCCATGCTCCCTGCCATGAGCATAATGGACTAAATCTCTGAAACTGTAAGCAAGCCCAATTAAATTATTTCTTTTTATAAGAGTTGCCTTGGTCATGATGCCTTTTCACAGCAATAGAATTCTGACTAAGACATTATCAAACACCTCATGTTTTAGAGGGAAGACTGCATTTGTGGCTTAACTTGCTAGTAGAGTGTTCTCTTGGTTACTTTTTGATTGCTGTGCTAAGACACCATGGTCAAGGCAACTTGTAGAAGAAAGAGTTTATTGGGGACTACAGTTTCAGAGGGTGAGTCCATGACCATCATGATGTGGAGCATGGCAGCAGGCAGGCAGGCATGGTGCTGGTGCAGTAGCTGAGAGCTTGCATGCTGAGACAACAACTATGAGGCAGAGAGAGAGAGAGAGAGAACACCAGCTGGTAATGTCATGGGCTTTGGAAATCTCCATGCCTACCCACAGTGACACACCTCCAACAAGGCCACACTTCCTAATCTTTCCTAAACAGTTCCACCAACTGGGCCCAATAATTCAAATACATGAGCCTACGGGGACCATTTTTATTGAAATCTGTGGTGGTATTTTACTTGTACTGAAATTTGATTTTAATTGTATGTTAATAAATAAAGTTGCCTGGGGGTCAGAGCTATTAGAGCCATAGCAAGAGCGTGGCGGTGGTGGCGCATGCCTTTAATCCCAGCACTTGGTAGACAGAGCTAGGTAGATCTCTGTGTGTTCAAGGATACAGCTAACATTGGAGACACACGCCTTTAATCTCAATACCATAGAGGACCTGGAGGGCTGTACATGCAGGCAGTGACGAAGCAGTCATGTGTTTGGGTTTACAACCAATAAGAAGGCAGAACAGACAGTCTATATAAAGATGAACAGACAGGAAGTAGGCCCTTTCGGAGAGCTCTCTTGGCTGAAGCAGGAAGGGTAAGGCTCTTAGCTCTGACCTCTTGGCTTTCTTCTCTGAATCGGCTCTGTGTTTCTTATTTAATAAGACGGTTGGTTACATCTACAGAAATCCATCACAGACATCCTATTTAGCTTCTTCATAGACTGGACCCTTTGTGGTGGCAGAGTGTGGTCTGGGAGATGTCACAGCCCTTGTGGCCCCTATCCCTGATCACATCTGCGTACCATCTAGCTCTTATTGTTTCCTATTTGAGCTTTGAACTTTGTAGAAAAAAATGACTTTTCTGTTTTCTAAGTGCTGTGTAACAAGTTAGTACAAGCTCACTGGCTTAAACGATACCCGTTTCCTTCTCCCAGTTTCCATGGACCAGGAGTCGGGCTTTCTGTTCAGTTCTGACACTGAGATGTCTGTGAGGTGAGTTTGAAGCTGGAGCCCAGAGAGTTCTCTTCTGAGCTGTTGAGGGAATTCAGTTCTTGGGGTAGTAGGACTGAAACCCCATTTTCTTATTGGCAGCCACCCCATATGTCTGCTCACCGAAAAGGAGTTTTATGCAATGTTACCAAACTGAGGTCCTGGCTGCTCACCGCTCAAAGGCCGATATTTGAAGATTGGAGTTGTCAGGAAGGGATCAAGCTCGTTCAAGAAAAGGTTGGTGTCTTGAGAAAACGGAGGACTGTTGGCTCCCAAGGTCCCTGTTGGAGAACTTGGGGGTACAGAGGACTTTTTACAATGGGCAGGAAGGCTTGTGGAGAAGAGGGTCTTTATCATCCAAGGTGTCTCTATTTTGTCTCTCAGAACAAAACATTCTCATGAAGAGTCCCTCCGTCCCTCCCTTCCTCCCTTTCGTCCTTTTCTTCTTTCCCTTCCTTTCTCTCTGAGTATACATGTGTATGTATATGTGTTTGTTTGTATGTGTGTCCAGGTGTACACGAACATGTCTGCTCATGTGTGTAGAGGTTGAAGTCAGATGTCTTCCTCAGTTGATTCTTCGCCTCAGTTTTTGAGACAAGGTCTTGCGCTGAACTTGGAACTCACTGATTGTTTAGACTGGCCATGCAGTGAACTCCAGGGATCCTGTTTGCACTTCCCCAGTGTTGGGATTATAGTTGTGTACCACTGCACCTGACTTTTATGTTGCTGTGAAGAACCTGAACTCGGGCCTCTTATTTGCATGGCAAATACTTTACTGACTGAACCATTTCCCAGCTCCCACTCCCATGGTTCTTAATACAGATACTTGGCTTTTCTACCAGTTAAACCTCACAGCAGTTTATACACTTTGCATCAACTGATGCCCAGGATTGAAGGCTAAGGCATTACAAGGGTCACCAGATGTTCTGGGCCCTGCACATATAAAGAAAGATTATTTAAAAATTAACATCTTTACTATTTAGGTGGGGCTTCTCTTCAGAATTTAGAATGCTGAGCCAAAGGGAAAGGATGGGGAGTGGGGAGGGGATGCAGTGTTTTAGAAAAAGGATCTGTCAAGACTAGTCCCAAAGCCCTGGTTCAATACCCATGTAGGAATGACTATCCCCTCATATTTAAAGTCTTTCCCATTAGAGGACTTCATAGGGTATGTGCAGCAGGATGTAGAGTTGTGGGGCTTAGAACTCTACCTGTCAAGGACATCAAGCTATGGAGTATTTCCAGGACCAAGAGTATAATCACAGACAAAGGTAAACAATAATAAACTGTTATGATTGCATCCCATGCATTACTCCTGTTCAGTGATGTAATTACACTCACCATAACTCTGTGTACTTAGGCTTGAGTTTTATGAGATTTCTGGATCTAGTAAACCACAAGAACCCAATGATCCTGCACCAACAGTGGGAGCTTCGGTACTCACTTTGGGTTGATGTGATCCCCAATCTTAGCAGTTAACTTGATGGGATTAACACAGCTAGGACGTTAGTGATGAGGGTCTTCATGTGTGCCTGTGAGGGTGTTTCCAGACAGTCAGATCACGGGGACTCTGATCTAAACAATGGATTCACCCCTTGGTGGATTCATAATTTGGTAGCGTTATTGGTAGGTGGTGAAATGTGGGAGGAGGGGCCGAGTTAAAGGAAATACATCAGTTAAAAGTGTGTCTTAGGGGACTGTATCTCTCCCTGGCCCCTTCCTGTATCTCCTTTTCCCTGCTTTCTGGCTGCCATGTTATGAATCATTCCCTCCCTGTCACAATGGGTTGGACCTTCTGAGACCAGGAGCAAAAGTCAACCTTCCTGCATGTCGCTTTTCTCAAATATTTGGCCCAGCAACACTGAAAACTGATGAATAGAGTTGGACTTTGGGAAACTACTTTGGGTGAAGAAAATGGATAACTTTTCTTAAATTGCAATCTGTGTGGACCTGGAGTGTATCTCAACTGCAAGCCTTAAATCTGCCTCTAAGTTTTGTATGTCTTGTTTCTCTCCCAGCAAGAGTATCAGCTGTACTTTGGAGAAGAATCACCAACCCTTCTGGATATGCAGATTGATTTCTGGGTCCTCTGGCACTTGGCCTTGCCAAGGTGATGTACAACTTACCAAAAAGTGCATCAGAATCCTGTGTCCTAAATCCAGTTAGGTGTCTAGTTCTACACCCGTCTGTTCATGGTTGGTATGACTCCCTCTCCAAGTCTCTGGAGGTAGAGGCCAAATGTTTTCCAAAGGTCCTGCAGATGCTTCCTGTTGTCCGTTATCAAAGGACATCTTAGATTTTACAAAGACCTAAAATACTCAAAAACAAGAAGTCCCCCAATCTGGCAGACCATTCCAGAGAGAACTTGTCCTTAGACAGATGGATATGTGGCCCTGTCATAAGCAGATGCATTCTTCTGTTTCTGAGGCCACAATTTCTTATCCTCTCATATATTTCACCATGACCTGCCTATTCTCACCATTCCTACACTCTTGTGGTGCGTGTTAGCATTTCACCACTAAGACAAAATGCCTGAGAAACATAACTTAAAGAGAGGAAATAGTTGTTTTAGTTCACAATTTTAGACATTTCCATCTATGGCAGCTTAGCTTCATGGTTCTGGGCCTGTGGCAAGGCAGATCATCACACTAGAGAGGGTTCAGAGGTACAGATGTGCCCAATTCATGGTGACCAGAGAGAGGGAGAGAAAGCCCCTAAGACAAGATATAGTCTCCCAGGACACACTTCCAGTTATCTATTTTCCCCCAGCTAGCTTTCCTCCAAATCGCCTACCTTTTACCACCTTCCAATAATGCTATCAGATTGTGAACCCATAATTGAATCAATCAATTGATTATGTTAGAGTCCTCATCATCTAATAACCTCCCAGTTTATCTACTAGTGGGAGTCCAGGCATTTGGGGGCAATACTTATATCCAAACCGTAACAGTCACCAAGGCTTCCTGATTAGCTTGGATATTGTAACAAGATAGGAGTTTGTGGTGGATTGAAAGAAAATGGCCCCCAAAGGAATAATGGCACTATTGGGAGGTGTGGCCTTATTGGAGGAAGTGTGTCACTGTGGGGGAAGGCTTTGAGGTCTCTTTTGTTTAAGCTTTCCCCAGTGTGACAGTTAGTCAGCTGACTTCCTGTTGCCTGCAAGATGTAGCACTCTCAGCTCCAGCACCATGTCTGCCTGCATGTCGCCATGCTCCCCATCATGATCATAATGGACTGAACCTCTGAAACTGTAAGCAAGCTACCAATTAAATGTTTTACTTCATAAGAGTTGCTGTAGTCATGGTGTCTCTTCACAGCAATAAAACCCTTAAAAAAAAATAGAAGTTGGTACCAGGGACTGGGGTATTGGTGTGATAGGCCTGACTGTGTGTTTGTTTGGAGGAATTTGGACTTTGGTACTTTGAGTTAAGAAAGCAGTGGCATGCTTTAAACATTGCTTAATGGGCCATACTAGTAGGAGCATGGAGGACAGTGGGGCTGAGTTGTTTGAACTGTGGGGGCTCCCTCAGGAGGTCTCAGAGGAGAAGAATTTTAGCACGTTGCCTAGAGATCATTCTTGTGATGTTTTGGTAAAGAAAGTAGCTGCCTTTTGCCATTGTTCAAAGAGTCTGCCTGAAACTAAAGTGGAGAGTTTTGGATAAAATCTGTTGGCAGAAGAAATCTCAAAACAGACTAGTACAGACTCTGTTGTGTGGTTATTAGTGGTCACTCTAATGAAGATTTATAATGAAAAGGAGCAAGCTGAGCAGGGTAAACTACAAAATGTAAATTCTGAGGAGAAAAAAGAACACAGGAAGTAGAATGGAGTTAAATCCTATGTTCAAGGAGATAAACGGATTAAGAAATGGAATAAAGGGAGTGGTGACCTCAGGGCAAGATCCCACCAGCTAAGTTTCCAACTTGTGGAAAGGAACTAGAGAAAAGCTCAGAGCCAGGTGTGTTGGAGCACACCTTTAATCCCAGCACTGGGAAGTCAGAGGCTGGCCAGTCTCTGAGTTTGAGCCCAGCCTGGTCTACAGAGCAAATTCAAGGACAGCCAAGTGTAGGCAGGGAAGGAAACCATGGGAAACAGAAAGCTGTTGAAGATGTAATTAAAGAAGGGGGCCATGTTCCAGTCCCAGTAAGTACCAGAAATTGTCAGCTTCAGCCAAGTGGTTCTGGGTTTAGAGTTAAGGACAGAAGAAAGGAATTATGGAATAAAGCTGCTGAGGCCCGGCATGTGTCAGGGGTGTCCCTGAATGGAGGCCTAGTAGAGAGGCCACTGTGTGAAGCTATGAAGTGGAAGCCTGGATGGCCTTGGAGAACCCAAATGTTAGAGATGCCAGAGTCGTGGGATACCTGCCGAGGAGAGGTGCTAATAGAGAGTGGAACCAGACCAAGAGAAAGAAGTATGTTGCAGTCAACAAAGCTGAACACAATTGGAGGTCTGATGAGCATTTTGACATCAGACATGGAGCTGCTGAGTTTGGAGTTTGCCTAGCTGATTTTCAGTCTTGCTTTTTGTTATTCATTAAGCAGTGCTGTTACTGTGCAAGAACAGCCACAAGGTACAATAAAACCCACTATAAGAGTTTACTAAGGGAGGGGAACAGAAGTGTATAGGTCTATAGAATGACCGTGCAGGAAGAGAGGGGAGGAATAGGTGGAACCCACTTTTATAGGTCCCCCTCCAACCCTGGCACATGTGCATATGGGCTTACATAGCTACATCATGCATGCACACAGATTATGTGATCACACAGCGCACAGATACTGAACTGGGGGAGTGGCTAGGAATTCTAACACTTTTGTCCAGCATTTCCTCACTATGCTCCTTTCCCTGTATTTTGGAATGGTAATGTATATCCTATGCCATTTATGTTGGAAGTATGTCAATCTGCTTTTGGTGCTATGGGATGGTCTTTCTGTATGCTGTGAATATGTGTTGCTCTCATTGGTTGATAAATAAAGCTGCTTGGCCAATAGCAAGGCAGAATAAGTTTAGGTGATATATTCAAACTGAAGGTGGGAGATGAAGAAGAACAGAGTCAGAGCAGACGCTGAGAGCTGCCCGAGAAGCAAGATATGAAAGAACCGGTAATCCATGGACCATGTGGATAGATAGAAATGGGTTAATTTAAATGTAAGAGCTAGCTAGTAATAAGCCTGAACCATTGGCCAAGCATTTATAATCAATATAAGCCTCTGAGTGATTATTTAAAAGCAGCTGTGGGATGGGGTGGGACAGAGAAAAGTCTCCATTTACATTTTGGAATTTGATTTTTATAGGGGTGTTACAGATAAGAGAGTGTCATGAGACTCAGAAGAGACTTTGGACTTTGAAACAGGTTTGAGGCTGTTATGATTGTTTTGGTTGCATGTATACATATACACCACGTGTGCCTGGTTCCCCAAGAAGGCTAGAAGAGGGCATCGGATCACTTCAAACTGGACCTATAGATGGTTATAAGAACAGAACTCAGGTCTTTTGCAAGAGCAACAAATGATCTTAATCACTGATGTCTCTCTCCAGCTCCTTGATTAAATTGTGGCTAATATGGCTTTTGGTACCAGAAACGGGGTGAATCTATTTGCATTTTTCTTGTGGTGTGGACATGCATTTTTGAGGAGCAGAATATAGAGTCATGGGCAGATCAGTGCTCCCCTAAAGATGTCTCCATTCTGCTTCCTGAGACCTGTGAATGTGTTTCTTCACATGGCAAAGGAGAGTTGAGGCTCACAACAGAATTAAGACTATTGATTGGCTGATCTTAAAATAGGGAATTTTCTGTATTCTAGTGGATCCATTGTCATCAGAAGGACCCTTAAAGGCAGAAGAAAGAGGCAAAGAAGACCTGCGGAGAGATGGCTGTGTGGGGAAAATGTGACCCAGCGCTGCTGGCTTTGAAAATACAGGAGCCAAGACTAGTGTGGCGCCTCTAGCAGCTGTAAAAGACCAGGGAAAGGGTTCTGCCTTTGAATATTAGAGGGAGAACAGTCAGGCTGGCACCTGCATTTGAATCTAATAAAACACATTTTGAACTTCTGACCCTTGGAACTGTAAGATTAAAAAAAAATGTGTCATTGTGAGCCACTAAATTCATGATCACTTGCTGCAGTAACACTGAAAAGAAGTACAAGCCATAATCCCGTGGCTCCTAGTGCGTCATCGTGGTTGGGCGCGGGATGGCATTTGCTTCTTCTCTGCCTCTTTCTCAGCGGGCTGGCCTCCCACTTCTGCCTGCTTTCTGCCCCACAGCCTCCTTCCCAAGGTGCTGGGAGCAGCCCTCCATCCTTTGCTGCTGCGCCGCCCCTGCAGCCTAGATGAATCAGAAGATCCGGAGTCTGCACCCTGCTTAAGAGACCGCCCCATTCTTACTCAGCGAACCAGGTGCGCCGCCTATTTATAGGCCCCTGATGCCCAGCAGACATTTAAGAGAAATTATACAATACTGCCTTTTATACCCTTTTTACAAAAGTGCTTCGTTCTCTCTCAAGTTTATGAGTCCACAGGGATGGCTGAGCTTTAGAAGCTCGCATGATCATTTTGTCAATTGGTTTATCTGAAAGAAACGTTTCCTTAGCTCCACTCACTTCCTCTTTCAGAAGAATGTAGACAGCCCATGTTTACAGTACCTCCTGGAAGAAATCTTTTCTCTTGCTCGGGGCCCAAACCAAACCAAACCCCTAGTAACTGTCTAGAAAGAGATGAAACAGCAGCAAAGGACAACGGCTTTTTCTTCCTTCTTTTTCTGCCGCCCCCACCTCCCCGTCCCACCCTTCTGCAAAGACTGGGATAGCTCCAGCAGCTGTAAAAGTTGGTGCTTCTATTAGCTCCCCAGGGCTGCTATAATGAAGTAGCACAAGCCAGATGGCTTAAAATAACAAACGAATTCACAGCTCTGGAGACCAGAAGCCCAACATCAAGGCGTTGGCAGGGCCCTGCTCCCTCTGGGACTCTGTGGAGCCCATCTTTGCCTCTTCCTAGCTTCTGGTGGTGGTGAGCAGTTGTTGGCATCACTCTGGTCTCCGCCTGTACTGTTCCAGGGCTGTCTGCCTGGCAGTACTTCCTCACACTGTCCTCCTTCTGTGCACATGTCTGTGTATCTTTCTTCCTACGAGGCCACCAGTCAGATTGGACAGGGGTTCTATCTAGTATGACCTCATCTTCACATCGCTGTGTGTAACAGCTATATGACAGCTTCATAACACTAGTGAGAGGGATTAAGAGAACAGATGAAGAGAACTGGACAGATTCTAGAATCAGGAGACAGACAGCATGTTCAGAATCTGGTGGCGAATGAGGGTAAGGAGGCAGGAGAGAAGAAAGGTCAAATATGACCAGGTTTCCAGCCTAGGCGACTAGACAGAAGCCCAAACCAAAGGCCGCTTCCCGCTTCTCTCCTTTTATACCTACTAAGTTCAACGCTGAACACATATCACATGTTATCTCACTCAACATGCATTTCTTCCCGAATGATAAATCTAAGCATAATGGATCTTATAATCAAAGGAATCTTCAATTTAATAATATATAAAAATCATCTTGGCTGGCACATGACCAAGCTGAGCTTCATAATAATTTGTTACATATTTTGTCTCTCTTAGTCCTCACTATACAGGTCATCTCCTTTACTCTTCAAGTGACACCATGGGATGCTTATATTATCCCTTCTTCACAGATCAGCAAACATCCTGGGCAGAATAAGAATAGTGACAGTTATGACCTATGGATTTTCCAGTCAGGCTCTGGGCAATATGCTTTTATGGTTAAAACTCCTTGTCACCAGATGAGATCCATGCCCACCTGATTACGGAGGAAAAGGAAGGCTCCCAAAGGCTCCATTTTGGATCTCTTGACCCCACATCTCTCAGGACAGAGACCAATCTCCTCTGCCCACTGGACAGGCCCCTCTAGACCTCATCTCCAGCTCTTTCCATGTGGTTGTTGTATAGTGCATGGCCCTTGCTTGCTCGATCTCTGTCCCAGCATCGCTGATGTATCTATGTTCCCTCAGAAACACTGGAATAAACACTAGGCCTGGGAAGAGGTGGGTGTGGTCCCTAAAACATCACACTGAAGGAGGACCCACTCCTCAGCATCCTGTAGTTTTAAGGTTGACCTCTGAGATTGTCGTCTTTCCTCGCCCTTATTCCCTGCTATGAGGTTTCTTCACCTTTACTACCAGGAGTGTGGTTCATGCTAACCCTTCATGGTTAGCTAGGATTTGCCTCTGAAGCCTTCCCTGGCGGCCTCCCAGGCTAGGACAGTGTCCTTCCTCCTTAGCACTCCTATAATGCTCTCTGTGCTTGCTGTTACCTTCCATAAAGGATGACGGTGTTTCCTGTTTGTCAGCTTCCCTGACTGGATGGTGATCCCCTTGAGAGCCTTCATGATTTACCCATTTCTTCTCTTCACTTAGCGCAGTACCTGGCATGCGGTAGGTGATTGTGAAGTGCTTGTTGAATAGCTAAGTAACTGTTATGGGCTGAATTTTACCCTTGCCAAGTTCATGTTGAAGTCTTAGAGTGGCATCCTCATTAAAGGGGAGAGATTGGAATAGATACATGTGCAGAAGAAAGACCGCATAAAGATACAGACAGAAGAGATGGCTGTTTATGAGCTAAGTCAAGTGGCCTTTGAAGAAATTAACCCCAGTGACATATTGGTCTTGGGACTTGAAGCTTTTAAAACTGAGAGGTTATAAATTTCTGTTGCTTAAACCATTCAGGCTATGGCATTTTCTTATGGCAATTCTAGCAAACAAATATACCAACCAAAGAACCAACTAACAGGTCTCTAACACTATGCACAGGCCTCCTCCTGTTGCCTTAAATTTTCTCTGTTCTTACATCTTTTCTTCTCAATCAATCAACTCCCGGGGAAAGAAGATCCCATTTGTATCTCTCCCATGCAGAACTCAGCCTCTGGCTGTTCACATACTCGTCACTCTGCAAATGCTTCCACTGTTTGTGTCGCTGGGAAGGAGGGACTGTCCTTGTCTGTTCACGGGGCTGGCGTTCATCTTCATTAGAGACAAACCAAGCCTCCCTGTGGATGGCGGTATCTGCTAATCTCAAGAAGCCCTGACCTCAAACTTTCACCTTGTCCATAGCTAGCAGGTCGTGAAGAGGGGCAGAAGAGACTCCCCATGTGTTTATCACCGGGTGAGACCGCTATGTTTTAGACGCTCATCCATCTAATTATGAGTGCACTGAGAGCCTGTCATGTACCATGCTTTTCTGGGCACTGGGGATGTGGTGTTGAAGGAGAAGAACCAGATGGCTTCAGGCTGCCTCCTGAAGCTCACATTCTCATGCTGTCGATCGAGATCTTGACCATCATGACACCCTGATAATAAGCACAGCTCAGGCCTTCACCAAGCTTCCTGGTTTGCCAAGCGTGATGATGCTCATTAGCCCACTGGGTCCCCTCCAAAGCCTTCCTTGTGCAGTGAGAATTATTATTATCATCTTTCGTGAATTCTCACGATTGATTTTTTCCCCCTCCTTTTTAACATCTTTGACATCAGCATTCCAATTATGGTGGATGACATAGCATAGTTTAATTGGTAGTTCCTATTTTCTTTTTAGGTAAAAGAAAAGGGGTAGGGGGAGAGAATCTTGACGTGTCAGTGATATCTTAGATTTAATACAGTATGAAATGACCCCTGTTTTTCAGATAATGAAGTTGCAATTCAGAGGGCTCCAGTGGCCTTTCAAGGTCCCATTGTCTTCTATGCAGTCTGGAGTCCTGGAACAAATAGGCCTATATTAGGATCACTGCACACCCTTGGCTGGAGCCCCCTTGCCCGTTTGCTCTTTGGAGGTTAGTTCCCTAAGCACACACACCAATTGTTGCCGCTCCTCTTCCTACAGGGAATCCCACAGTTTATCCCAGGATGAACTTCAAAGGGAGCCTGGCCCTCTCCCTGCTCTCCCACACCAGGGGAGTCACAGGAGGGCGGCTGAGACCAGAGCCAAGCATATCAAAAGAGCCCCCAACTCCCCTGTGCCTAGGGAGCTACAGTGAGCTCAGTCTCTGGGCTGCTCTGGGTGATCAGTTGACAAAATACATCTGAGGAAGAAGGAGGACTCTGCAATCAGCTGTCATCTTTGATGAACACCCAGAATGCATTTTCTCTCTTCATTATCCCA